CATTCCTGATGATGGTGGCTCAAGCAGTGGAAATTACGGCCCTGCTTGTTCTGTGCACAACTCGCAATATCTAATTCCTAAGAAGTAATATGTTAAGTATAACCTCTGTGTATAACCCAGGTGACATGCTGTTCCCATACTTTGAACTGTAGTCTAAGCAGTTCCCAAAGCAGACTTCATGGTAATTCTTGTCAACACAGTTATTTTATGTCTTGGCTAAAAACAAAAGTAGTCAGTTCCCTAGAACAAAATAAATGTATGTACAGAGTTAATTCATGGCTAGAATACTGATAAATCATCAGAAAGATGTTCCTACTGTGACACTGAAAGAAAAAGAAAAAAAATTACTCAAGCTAACCATATGATCATTCAAAGAAATGGCATTCAGACCACCTTTTCTTCCAATTTGAAACTATAAAAAATAATTCAGCATCATAGCTTTAAAATTCATTGTTTCATAAGACAACACTCCTGCTTATCCAAATGGCAGCCAATCAAAATGTAAATAAAGATAGGTCTAAGGATAAGTTTGGGCACAGCTCACTTGGGTTATGGTGATTGCTATCTCATGGCAGAAGATTTCTTTCATACATAATTATTCTAAATTAATATTCCTGCTGTTCTCTGCTCAGCTCCTTGACATTTATATACAAGCATTTGCATTAATGAGAACAAAGTAAGAGAAAATATTAGAAAATAAATGGGACATACCAGGAGGTTTTCTGGCTTGATGTCTCTGTGCACAATGTTGAGACCATGAAGGTATTTGAGTGCACTGGCTAGATTGTAGACCATTGCACTCCCATCTCGCTCTGTGTATTTTGTAGAAGAAGTGATAGCATCAAACAGATCTCCTCCCTAAAGTAATGGAAAGATAATAGATCACTACATGAAAAATAATTATGATATTTCATAAAAAAGCCATGTAAAATCTTCCTTTACAAAAGGCATACTCAAATGCCTGTTAAACAGTAAAAAATTATTTTGCAGGAAGATGATCTTGTCACCAAGATACTAGACTGGGACTTGGGTCATCTACATTAAATTCTCAACTGTACTCCAGGCTTCTGATGTCTGAGTTTAGGCAAATCACAGCTCTTCTCTGTTTCAGTTTCATTCTACTGATCTTCCTGCCTTTGGTCACTCATTTATATTACCTACAGTGACAGGTGTACACTTTCCCTTTTCTTCATCTTATAATACCTTTACATAGCAAAAAAAAGTCCCGATTTCGAGTAAAGCCTAAAGTAATACAAATTAGCTCAATAATAAAAAGTCTAACATAACAAATACTCAGTAATTGTAATGAACTGCAAATTGGAGTTTCTGTAGATATTGCAGAAATATCAAGTAAATATAGCTGGAGAAGACCAACAACATAAGCATCATTTTTTTTCCAACCTAAATGATTCTATGATTCACCAAAGTGCAGAACCTACAGGTGATTCCTGAATATTCCAGTTGTGCAGTCTCTTGATTATGGATGCCCTATTCCTCTTGGAATATATAACAACATGCAAGTGAGTTACTGATGCAGCATTTCCAGTCACTTCAACAAATTTTCTGTGGGTGTCTCTATGACTGTTACCCTGGATACACCCGTAGGAGTGCTCTGTCTGAGCCATGGGTGGCATTCCAAGCATTTCAGTACACATGGAAGAGAAGCAGTAATTCAGGAAATACAAGCCAAGATGGTCGTGTATTAAAATATACAAAAAACTACTGTCTTAAAACCAAAAAAGCCTCTACTATATAAAAATAACTTCTAGAAAGGAAAATAAATGGGTAGGTTGCAGAAATTATGAATTCAACAACTAGAGATTTTCTTTAGAGGTTTGCCAGGCTGGCAACCATTCTAGAGGGGACTCTTGAATCTAACAATGCTTCAGACAGAAATAAAAAGTTATTATTATGATAATATATATTATTTGTATCTGACATGCTGATCAAGCTGATGTGTAATGTTGCTATGTATGTACAGTGCACAGACAAGAAAGTGCATGACTAAAACTTGTAGTATTGTGTATTTGGTTCACAAAGTGACAGCAAAATGAAGATTTTTGTTTTCTTTTTACATGTATGAAAGCAGCATTTATTTTCTGTTGAATTGGAAATAAGGTGAATATTTGATATAAGCAAAACAGGTGAGATATTTTGATATTAAAATATTAAAAATATTTTAATTTTGCTGGACCAAAATCACTTGAGTATGAACTATTCATTGCATCTATTGTCTACTAAGATAAATTCATTAAAAAGAATTTGCTTCTTTAAAGCAATTTATTAAATAAAGATATCAGTGAAATAAATGCAGGTGTTCTGTCAGTAAATGCATATCACTATTACTCTCACACATTGTAAACATGATACAAAAACCACTATCCACTTCTCTCCAGACTGCGCAGATTGCAAAACTAATTGCAACTCAAGAGACATAAATTCCACTAATACAGCTGATTGACAAGAATATTTGCATAATTAAACATGCAGGTCGCCACTGAAATCTTATCTGAGATTTTAATGTGCCTAGATACTTCTCAGATATCACACCAACAAAGAGAATTAAAAAAAGAGGAAAAGTCTCCCTAGTCTTACCTTGACCAGCTCCATCACCAGGTAGAGTTCTGTTGGAGTGTCCATTTCCTCTGTAAGCATAATGATATTTGGATGCTTCACTCGACGCAGAATAGACACTTCATTTTCAATCAGGTGTTCCTTTTCAGAAAAGAAGACGGAAGTTTATCTGAACAGACATGAAATTGCCAATTCACTTTTCCTTTGGTCAGCTGACCACTGATCACTTGATCAGTGAGCACTTTTTGCTGTTTACTTTATGTAGTAGAGAGTTATTGTCAGATGCTGGATTTTAACTTGTATTTTAGCCCAACTGTACTTCTTCATTGACCAAATGTAATTTAAAATACCATATTCACACACATAACCAATAAGATATCTCCCCAGAACTTGACAGCAATTCAGAAAGTGTGGATTATATTCTTATGTGGGTATTATGAGGTGAAATTAAGTTCAGACACCCTCCCCTCCCTCCCCCCCACTCCCAAACTGGATCATTGTAACCTGCCACCCCCTATCAATAGTTAACACGTTCTTGATCCTCTCCAGCCTTCAGCTCTCATTTAGCATAGGTTACTCAAGGACAGATTACCTAGGATTTATTTTCAAAGACTTTTTTAAAAAAAATAAATTGTGGATTATATGCAGGAAAAATGTTATAACTGCTTTGAATTTCAGTTCATTTTATATGTATGTTCAGATTTACAATCTGCAATATATGTAATAGCTCAGTTAAGTTGTTGTGGCTCCAACAGCTTAACAGCACACAGATTGAGTTTAATTTTCCCCCTCCCTATAGTTCTGAGGAAGTAATGGGTTTCAAGAACAAATTAGTTTCAGAATGTTTTGTTTTCTAGAACATCTTAGCACTTGGTTAACAGTGGAGAGAGAAGAAAATTACATGCCCCTTTCATGTGAAGAATGATTTGCATCTTCCTTTTAAAATGTTGGAATACAGATATTGTATTTAGGTTCACTGCAAAATAAGTAACAATGCTTGCATAAAACACTAGTTTCCTAATACTTTCATAGTTAACAAATCATGTCACTAGACTTGGAACTTATTCATGTTTAATGTGCTGATTAGTAGCATGCACTTCCTGCATTTGTGAGCAGAGGACTACAAGTAGATGTGATCCACTGTGCACAGGCAGTGATTGAAGAGCTTACACTACTTCATTTTCTATTTTCAGGGTTATTTACGGATGCACTGTGTTTTTGCCAAGGCTTTATGTGGCTATGCAACTCAGAAACCACACACCATGTGTGCATCTCATTTAATGAGAGTATGGTGCGGCATATATGAGTTAAACAGTCACACCTTTGAAAGAGCATCGATTGTCATTCTGAACAAACTGATGTCTGCTCCAAGCAAAGTGCTCTGGAGAAAAAAAAACCACACATGAAGCATTTTTGTTAAACACAACGATAAATGTCATCAACAGACGAAAGTGAACAGCCACAACATACAAAGCCTTATGGTTGGAAGCCTATAAATTAAAAAGTAGCATTGAGAGTCCAAGTAAAAACTAGAATCTCATTATAGCTTTTTCTACATAAAGAACAGGTCACATTAAATTTATTACATCCATTAATTATGACTAAGGCACAATAGCTTTACCTGTGCTTTCATTGTTTCACTTCACTAAATTGTTAATTGCTTTAAATAAAGCTCAAAAGTAAAGTTTATTTTCAATAAACTACAATCATTTTTTTTTTAAAAAAAGGCTCTAGAATGTTGTTGAGCTATTGTTCTAATACCTGTCTTCAAAATGCTGACTAACATGTAGTTATTTTCAACCACCCCACTGTTTTTGCTGTATTTTGTCATGTAAAAAAATAATAATTTTTAAACTTGCTATAAAGTTGTCCTGGATAGTGCAATATAGATTTCAGTCTACGTTAATATGGTTTCTTTACAGAGAAATTATTGTATAATAAACATTTAAGCTGCTTGCGGAAAATACATTAGTCAACTGGATTCAAATTTTAGGACATCCAAGATAAGCTGCTAGAGTGAGCAACATACAAGTCATGCATATTTGGATGAGATGGGTGTTTTCAAGGCAGGGCTTATGTTGGCATGTGAAATGGAGTGAGGAAGGAATAAGTTGTAGCCAAATTTCATTATTTTCTTTGTTGGAATTCTTCCTGGACAGTTGTGCCACTGCCTTAACAGGCATAGACATCTTCCTAACAATAGTTCTCTGCTTGTACATACACATACATCTGTATGTAGCTATACAGACACAGGTCCTTTCAAAACAGACAAGTATGCACCCATGGGGTTGACTTTTTTTGTTTGTTTTAAAGCAGTGAGAACAATAAATAGAAAATATGTCTAAACTCTGCTGTATAAAAAGGATTGTCTATCTCCAGACCATTCCAATTTATGATCCTAAGCAGCTGACTCAAATAAGTAATAAAAAACATCTGAAGCTGTGAGCTGTACACATCACCCAAAAGTTTTCTTTTGCAGTGAAACACACTGGGCCCCACAGCTGAAGAAATGGCAACATTTTAAACTCAAAAAGGCAATTCTAGCACTTTTTCTGGTGGTTATACATTTTTAAGATGCCTTTCTAAATTTTCCCTTAAATAAACCTAGAGAATATGAGATAAAGTGATGTGGAGGGAGGAATACTCATCTCCTAGCACCTAATACATAATTTAAAATCTGCATAGATAAAACATTTCTGTTTGAGGACCTCTACTTAAAGCAAATCATCACAGCAGGTAATGCATTAGTGTACAGCAATATACAGCTCCTTACCACACAAAGAATGTCATACAGACTCGCTACATCTTCCTACAAGGTCACATTCAGCATTTGGAGCTCCGAATTGTGCTTCAGAGCAGTTACTCTATGTAACTGACAAAAAGGATACCTTTGAATTAAAACCTTGACTTGGTTGCAAAGTTACCTCAAGAATCGTTTCAGTGCAATCATTTACATAAAAAAATAAGGCATAAAACCATCAAAAAGTCCATCTTCTCAGTCATCCTCGAGAGAATGGTGTATTTCCTACTCTAAAAGAGCCTTTAATCCAGAATTTGATTGCTAATTAATACTGTGCCCTCAGTGTTCTTTTAGCTAGCACTGAACTATGATCCATTTATTCATAAGGTCCTCAAGAGCACTTTGATTTCAAGGTATTGCAAAGCAGTGAAAATACAAGTATTTTATTTGTTGTTATCTATTCCAACACTTAGTCTACATTCTTGGCTGTAGGTTTGGATTTTTTTCTTCCTTTTTCAAAAATTCTGCACTTGGGAGGAAGGTGAAGAAGAGGTCTGATGCTCTCAGATACCTGGTTTGATTATGTAACATGCTGTTCTGCTGGCAAGAAAATTTTGGACTTTTCTTTTAATTAAAAAGAAAGTTTAAAGAACTCTTTTGTTAAGGGTTCTTTGTTATACAGGATGGTGAAACTACATAAACAGAAATAAATGGTTGCAAAAATTTATTTCTAAATTCATGTTCTGCATATAAAAGGAGCATGTACAGCCATAAAAAGATAAAAATAAGAGGCAGTGTGATGGGAATTACATAAATACACATATAGCTGCAAATTTCCTCTCTCATATTTTACAGATCAAAATCTTTCTAATATATTTTGGGACACATATTTGCATTTTCTTTGTTAGTCCAATAAAACAGATGACAATTTGTTTGTTTTTCACTCTATTATCTAGCAGACTAACACTCACTACTTTTATTATTTGCTTCCTGGATACATTATCATCCTGTTCAACAGATATTCTGAAAATAGCCAGGAAACCCAAACACACCCACCATTTATGACTAATGAGCAGCTGCTAGTGCTGTTTCTGCTATTCTTCTTATACATGCAAATTGTTGTACGCTACCTTTCCACAGCATTTAGCCTTGTCTATGATCTTCAGTGCAAACTCCTTTCCTGTGGATCTAGCAAGAAAAAGATGAGAACCATTAATTAGAAACTGGTCAACAAATTGTGGCATTATCTGTTAAGAACATACATCATCCTAACAGAATGCCTTGACCCATAGAGGTTGCTGACAGAAAATTCACAGAAGGGACTTGATTTTGGTTTTTGTTTTCTCAGCAGCATTTGTGCCTGTTGTTTCCCTAACTACCACAACCTAGCTCACTTTGTGTATTAATCCCAGACTCCAGCTCCAATTCATTCTTCTGTGAACTGGCACAACTCTCTGTTGGTTCTTTAATGCTACATGCAAAATTTGTCTTGAGCCTTCCACTTAGCTTTGTTCAACTGGTAGGCTTTAAAGATAAAAATCATACACATTTATGTGTAAGTAAGCAGAAGAAAGATTGGTGCCCTAGTATAAAATTCCACAGAATTTATTAGGCACTAATTTAGACCTTTTGCATCTCATTCTTTCTTTATTTTTTTAAGTATTCTGTGGAATTCTACAGCAGTCATCTAAAGTCCCATGACATTTAAGAGGGTGGTTACCTACAAAATAAAAAGGATTACTGTTTTCAGTAAGTAGTCTCACAGAAAGGAGCTCTTGTTTGCCTTTCATCCCTTTAAGCAATAAAAATCTTCTCCATTTCTCCAGAAGGGGAGAAAATGAAAGAAAGAAGCAATACAAATGAATTACTTTTTTTCTTTTAAACAAAGAAGACATTACTACTACTACACTAAAGGCAGTTACAAAAACAAGTCATGCATGTTTTTAAACTTCCAGGTTAATTTTCACTATACTTTTGGCATTAGATAAAACTAGTCAAAATTAGTACCTTACCAAAAAAAAAAAAAAAAAAAAAAAAGAAACTGAATTAACATCTCACATTCAATTTATCCATTATTGAAAAAATGCAGTACAGATCTCTGCTCTGAAAGTGCAGCTGTATCTGCGAGGAGGTTGTCATAGTTACAACCTCATCTGGTCTTTAGACAGAAGTGTTATCTAAATGGTATCCGTGAAATGCCATCCTCTTACATTATAGACCTGATGTACAATCTACTATGAATACGGTGTGTAATTCAGAATCACAATTTATGCATTATACTAAATTAAGTGCATTATCTGAAAGCCTGCAAACAACTGATCAGCACAACCCACTTAGCAAGCCTTTGGCACTTACACTGCGTAGAAAGAGAAGTTAACATTCACAAATCCAATTCATCAACCAACTTGAAATCCCTCTTGCAAATGCCCTTTGCTATAGCACCTAAGAAAAAAACCCCACATAATTTGTGTGCTAATACCACTGCCTAGCATACACCAGTATGTCTGACAGGTTTCTGGTACTCTTCTGTCTAGCTGTCAGTGTCCATCTGTTGAATCACGACTTTATATATAGACATACAGGCATGCTTTACAAAAGAGACCATCTTTTTCTTTTTGTAGAACAGCTGGTATAATAGGATCTTGGCTCCACAACTAAAAGCTTCTAAACAGAACACTATTACAAATAAAGTACAATAATTAATAGAAATTAAAAGACAAACATGTATAGTTGGCATTTCCTCTCTTATTATTATTAGCAACTATTGCTGTATATTTATTTTAGATAAAATCCATTTAATAATGCTTCACAATATAAAGATTGGATCACATACAAAACTATACAAAACTAGATTTTTAATTTTAATTTAGCTTTTCTTTTTTTTTTTTTAATAATTGGAAGGTTGTTTTTCTAGTCCAGACCCCTCATTCCAAAAAGCACAGATAATGTTTTGAAACCCAAGTGACTTAGCAGCTGTTGTCCCATTTTCAGTGGAACATAAGTGATTTCCAAAATGCATAGTCGATATTCCTGAAAATAATACATTATGTAATCTTTTGCTTTTAACCTGTTATCTTTAATGAATGTTATTCTCTCTATAGATAACCAGGGATGTGTGGCCAGTTTCAGGGTGCATGGGAAAACACTATGGAAGCATAATTCATTTTGTCTGCGCCAAAACTTTGGGGTTTTTTAAACCATGGAAGAGCCTTTGACAAGGTTTGCTGATCCACCTGTCCTGATGGTGAAAACGCATCCTTGGGCACAAGCTGGCAGGGCTGATTGAGACAGAATTGATGGGGGACAGGGATACCAACAAGATTGCAGCAGATAAGCCAAGGGTTGGCACAGCATCGCCTGAGAGTGGCAATGCTAGTGGGAACATTTACACCGCTCCTGGGAGCAAAGAGGGCTCAGAACCGTACCTGAGAGACACCAGTACACCATCACACGCAGTATAAGAAACAAACAGGATGAACTGGAAGTGCTGGTCAGCTACGATATCATTGGTACCAGTGAGACCTGGTGGAATGAATCCCGTGACTGGAGTGCTGGGATGGAGGGCTACAGGCTGTTCACAGGGGATAGGCAGGGACCTGTCACACTATATGTAAGGGAGAGGTTTGATTGTACAGCCCTTACAGTTAGTGATGACATGGCTGAGAGCGTCTGGGTGAGGATTAGGGGGATGGAAAACAAAGGAGATGATGTAGTGGGTGTCTACTACTGATCACCCAACCAGGATGTAAACACTGATGAGTTATTCTGTAGGCAATTAGGAGAAATCTCTGGATTGGTAGACCTTGTCCTTATGGGAGATTTCAACTTCCCAGACATCAAGTGGGAATATTGTACTGCTGTGACCAGCAAGTTTTGGAAATTCTTAAAAGTTTGTAGGAAAAAACTTCTTGTAACAGGTACTCAGTGAGTCAACTAGGAAAGATAACCTCCTAGACTTGCTGTTTGTGAATAGAGAAGGACTTGGGGAGGATGTGATGGTAGCTGCCTGCCTTAGCCACCGTGATCATGAAATGGTTGGTGCAATGAGGAAAAAAAAAAAAAAAAAAGGTGCAATGAGAAAAAAAAGAACAGCAGAGTTGCTACCCTGGATTTCAAGAGATCAAACTTTAAGCTATTCAGGGAACTATTTAGCAGAGTACTCCGGCAATCTGTTTTTGAGGGCTTAGTCCATGATTACTGGTCAGTCTTTAAGAACCACCTTTTACAAACACAGGAACAGGCAATCCCATTGTGTCGTAATTAAAGCAAGCTGGGCAGAAGACCAGCTTGGCTGAACAGGGAAATCCTTGTGGAGATCAAGAGGAAAAAGAAATTGTATGATCTCTGGAAGCAAGGTCAGGCTTCACAGGGAGATTACAGAACGTGTGTATATGCAGGGAGGAGACAAAAAAGGACAAAGCTCAATTAGAGCTGAAACTGGCCAGTGTTGTTTTAGTTAACAAGAAGGGCTTTTAAAATTATGTTAATAGAAAGAGGAAGTGTAAAGAAAACACTGGACTGATACTTGTTGAAGATGGTCACCTGACTAATAGGGTCAAAGAAAAAGCGGAGGTGTTCAATGTGGTTTTTGCCTCAGTCTTTTACTGATAGACCTTGGGCTGCCTGGTCCCGAGTTGTAGGGCTATGAGTGTGGCAACAGTGACTTTCCATACGTGGACACTGAAATTGTAAGGGACCAGATGCATCAGCTGAATGTTCACAAGTCCTTCAGGCCTGATGAGATTCATCCCAGACTACTGAAGGACCTATGTTATGGCATGACTCTTCTCAATCATCTACCAAAGGTCTTGGGAGTCTGGGGAGGTTACTGCTGACTGGACGTTAGCCAATGTTATTCCAGTTTGGAAAAAGGGTGTGAGGGAAGACCCAGGGAACTACAGACCTTTTAAGTCTAAACTCAGTTCCTGGGAAAATTATCAAGAAGGTTATACTGAGTACTACTGAAAAGCATCTAAACAGTAACGCAATTATCAGGCACAGTCATCTTGGGTTCACAAAGGGAAAGTCCTGTTTAACTAATTTGATATCCCTTTATGATAAGGTCGCCCTCCTAGTGGATGAAGGGAAGTGATAGATGTAGTCTTTTCTGGATTTTAGTAGGGCTTTTGATACTGGCCCTCACAGCATCCTTCTGGACAAACTGTGGGATGAGTGGGTTCATGGTGTGCTGGGTAAAGAACTGGCTGAAGGGCAGAGCTCAAAGGGTTATAGTGAATGAGGCTACATCCGGCTGCTGACCAGTCACCAGTAGTATATTCCTCTGGGTTCAATTCTAAGGTCAGTCCTGTTCCATGTATTTATCAACAATCTGGATGCAGGAGTTGAATGCACCATTAGCAAGTTTGCTGATGATACTAAACTGGGAAGTGCTGTTGACTCTCTTAAGGGACAAGAGGCCCTGCAGAAGGATCTAGATAGATTGGAGCATTTGGTTATGATTAATAGGATGAATAGGAACCAGGGTTTTTTGTTAGAAACTGTTAAAAAAAATAAAAAATTGAGACCTTGTAGTCTAGATGTTAACATTGTTGAGAAGCATTATCTTAAACCTGTACATGCAACAGGAACTTTTTTTGAGCAGTAATTTTAGTACATTATGATCACATTTAGTCATTTTTTAATTTATCAGCGCTGTATTTGGCTTGTATTTCTAGGAGCTGCCAACTCAGTCTTTATTCCTTACTTTATAAACCTTGCATGCTCATACATCACTTTCTCAAAAAATATTAAAAATAACAATTGTCATTTGCTGTTATAAACCAGAAAGGTGTATAAGACATTGTGTTACATACCACCTGCCAATATTATTCTCAATAATGGAGAGAAATAAGCCAGATACAGTATGAAGAAAAACTTGTCTTGAGAATTCTTCTGCAGTAATGGCTGCAGAAAGTTATGGGCTGTAAGATCCATTCACCTATGTTTCAGTACAGGAGGCTCCAGGTTCAGCCCCAGTACCCAACTTTTAGCCCATCTGGATGACTCAGTAAAAGTATTATCTATTAATCTATGATCTGCTAAGACTGGAATTAGATGTTTCCATTCATAATTATCTTTTTTCATTTAAATAAAACCAGTAGATGAGGATCAAATAATAGAAACTGTTTCTGTAACTTTTATGTTTTTTACAGACATTCAGTGAATTTGCCCAGTATTTGCATACAAGATGGAGATTCCTCATAATATTTAAGAAGCTGACATAACTCTCAGATTGCTGAAGATAGCAGAAGGTGGTTCTAAAAAATACACTGAGAAAGTGACAGTCAAATCATGTTATGTTTGCACTAGCAGCAAAGTGTGACACAAAGCTTGCAGAGGAAGAGCAGTAACACAGCACAGGTCTGTAACGGTATCTTCTCTACCCCATGGGAAACCAGGCACAAGAATATTTCAGAGTCTGGAATATTGAAAGGTTGAAAAGCCTCTGTCTACACACGGCATCACCTCACAGAAGCAGCAAGCACAAGAGGGTCAGTAGCACGGGCTAAAAGGCACTGACTGCATGCCTTTAAGAATACTTTGCCCACAGTATATTGAAAGCTGTGAAAAATCATTTAAGCAGCTGGCAGTAGGGATAATATCGCAACATAATTGCTGAGGCAGAAAGAGGGGCTCTCAAAGCCTGTTCAGATGTCACATATAATTTCCTGTCATCCACAATAGTCTGTTGTGTGAGGGGATTTCTTGAAGATCTGCAGGGTTTCTTTAAAAGTCTCCATTAGAAGGTGATAAGTTTAGTTTTTGGGACAAAAAAAACATGTTCCTTGCTGCTTTCATATCCCTTTCTGGAATAATACATAAAGAAGCTCTGTGTATTTTGTTATGCCTTGTTCTCCTGAAGTGTAGGCATATCTTTGCAACTGCTCTTTGCTTTAATCTCATCCCATTTTCTATGAAATTATGCTAATGCACAGGGCTTTATCCAGTAGAATAAACAGCAATACTGAACAGTTTCCTTGCTCACCGTTCTATGCACTCCTTTACAACAGCAAAATTGCCATCACCAATCACCTTCCCCACTTTATACTTCTCAAGAATTGTAGATGACCCTGAGCATGTGTTTCCATTCACACCTGCAAAAAAAACAAGGTCAATAATGCAAGTTGAAGTGTCAGCAAGATGCAATATATCCCCAGTGGGTTCCACAGATACAGAACAGTCAAAAATGCATACCAAAACTCAAAAGTAAGCTGTTTTCTTCACAGCTATTCTCTTGTTTTTACCCCAAACGTAAGAAAGAACAAGATAAGACCAATCAGAGTTGTTTGACCTTTTAGCACATAAAACAAATATTACTATGTTTTTGTGTGGACATATTCTAAAGGTAATTAATGCAGTTAGAAGTCCTTAGTCTAAATATTTTCTGCACTCAAAATATTTTTTTAAGTATCTTTTTGCATACTCAAAGCAAAAATGCAAGTAAGATTCATCTACAATGCATGTAAAAGAATCAAATTTTTAATCTGCTGAATTCATTGACATTCCCTTAGCTGCTGTGGAAACATCCATAATGTAAGTTTGATAGCTGCTTATTTCAGTATTTTTAAATTTAAAAAATTGACCCTAAAATTAATTTTTAAAATATTTTTTTTTTAAAAATCTTTGCTTGAAAGAGATAAGGAATGAAAAGTTAAGTTTAGCTAAGGTCATTTGATAGGCGAGTGGTTCTACCTGACGCACAATGTGCTCTTTTGAGGAGGGCTCCATTTTCAATCCAGCCACAAACACATTTCTGGTGATACTCTGCAAGTCATGTTCAAAATCACTTAAATGCCTAATAGTGACTATTGAAGAGCAGAGTCCACTAATATGCTGCCACTTGACAAAAAAGAACAATATTTATTTCTTAGCTTTACTGCCTTGTCGTAGAAAATGCGATAACAATTTTTCCAAGATAAGGTTGTCAACAAGGCATCAAATATCTCAGAACAAAAAATTATTTGGAGTAATAGGAAACCATGTAAAAGTGCTAAACCAACTGTCACCTACAACAAAATTTTTGCAAGGATTGTTAGCAATTATTTGTGTCCTACCTTCGGGACTCTGGCAATGGAGTGATTCAGGTACACCATTCACATTGGAAGAAGATCCACCATGTGGAGTGATCTATGGAAGTACATAAGAACTTATTATTTCCGATGGTAATCACAAGAAGGAACCAGAAAAAAAACCCAGCAAAAATTAAAAAAACCCACCCTAAAAACATCTATACAGAGTCTGTTTACTTTTCTAGTCCCATCTTATTTTTATTCTTGCTTTCTCACAGTTCATCATCATTATAATACATCATTGTCACCTGCACCAATTTAAGATTCAGTCCTGATATTCCTATTTAGATAAGTCATTGAACAGATTTCAGTAAACAGCAAAGAAAATTCCAGCTGCACCAAGTTCCATCTAAACACTAAAGAACCTGTGTGTGGAGGCAACATTCTCTCCTCATTCCACACAAGATGATCATATGCTCTGTGTACATTTTCCCATCAGCCAGAGACAGCCATCTCCAGACAACTGTTCAGTGGCCAGTGCAGCAAGCAAGTGCTCTCGTGCTGTAGTTTAAGACATCTCTTCATAGTCAGCACTGTCTGAGGCTTCCCTAACCGACCCCTGTCAATAGATGCTCTCTTTAGATTAGCAATGAAGCATGCTAGAAAGGTAATGTAGAAATGCTTGCATGGTCTTACTAGTTCTCATTTAAATAAGAGAATTTTGGCATAGGTGGCCAGGTAAAACTATGATAGTCATATCTGCTTGGTAATCTAGCAGTCTGTATTTTAGGTTATTATGGATCTGAAGATTTATGACATCTACAAGCATTTCAAGTTAGATGTCTGATATGCATCCAGACACAATCCAGTTTTAGTAACTGTGATGCTGTATAAAAAGCCAATATCTAAATGATTTTGAAGGACGAAGAAAACTACTGCACTAACAACTTAATTGGTACTCTATCTGAATCTTCATGATTCTACTTAAAATCATCCCGCCATACTGCCCAGGGACATGTGCAACAATCAATTTTTATTTTAAAAAAGGGGTGGAGGCATAAGAATGAATGCCATAAACAGTAAAATGTACTGGATGTATTCTGTGCATCACTGTTTTATAAGCTCTCTCATTACAGTTAAGTATATGCACTATGAAATTAAAATATATTTTAGATCATTCCCCCTCCTCTACTTAATATTCTTGCTGTTCTGTGAAGTTCTATATCTTGTTTTCTTCATGGGCTATTATAGCAGTTCTCACCACTCACCATATAAAGGATTAAAATGCTTCTCTGCCTTAAGCTCAGTGTCTGTCGAAATGGCTTCGCATGACACCAGGAATGCAAATGCAGCATTTTCCATTTTAGCTGACATTGTCTGGTTACACTGCTGAATATTTTAAATCATTAACACTATTGTCAATGAAAGAACTGAACTGACAGATAGGGATATTGTCCAAAGGCTCATGAAATGCTAATGAATGCTTAAGTTTCTAGTGGCAGCTGAGCTGCCAAATCAGCTAAAGGTACAGTAACTAGACACTGTACAACTTAATTTTGCAGAGCCTCTAAAACAATGATGTTTACTAGCATTTGGCATAAGTAGCACCAAACAGCAGCCAGTCAGCTACACTCTGCTCCTTGCTGGTAACTTTAAACCAGGCTATGTTAATGCTGCTGTCTTTCTGAGTTATCTATTTATTTAACAAGGATCAGGAAAGACAAGGACATTTGGGTTAAATTATATTTGTGCAAAATTGTGAGTCAGTCTCTTAACCAGCCAGTCACATTTTCTTCAACCATGAATTGGAGGTAACAGAACATATCACTGCAAAGTATTAGTCATCAGCTAAAAATATTAGTACTCTTGTTTTGGGTTTTCAGTGAGTGACAATACATGGGAATATCTAGCCCACATTTCCAACTTCCTTCATCCTTGTAATCAGGTCAGAACATGACTGGGCACATTACTTCTTACAACAGCATTTACAAGAAGGAAAAAAAAAAAAAAGCAACAGGAAAAAAAGCTAAAAGGAATATGAAAAGGAAAAAAAAAATCTAACGCTGCTGCTGCTGCTGTGGCTGAGGTGCTAGATCAGAATCTGAAGTGGCAGATTTCACCTTAGCTCTGCCAGTAATTTGCCTCATGGCTCTAGACACGAAGCCGAACTCGCTCTACAACAGAGATTGCCTGTAATTTGGGTGCTGTAGGTCTGTGTTCAGTTCCTCAGCGGAAAAATCAGTCTAGTCTTTTTTTAGTCTTCCCCTACTGTGTCAGAGCACACTAGCAATAAACTCAAGATGCCCGAGAGGTGCTTGACTAGCCAGAAAAGGTGGGGAGGAGGTAGGAATTGACAATAAGCGACACAGAATAAAGTTATTTTTATTATGAAAGTTATTTTCTAATAATTTAACTACTCAGTAACATGGAATATTTAGAATACCTTGTACAGATTAGATTTTGCAACAATGCTTCCTCCTGTATTCTAGTCCATACAGCGCTACTGCTCTCTTGTAATACTGTTCTCCTTACACATGATAAATTCGGAGTACACAGGTCTTAAATCAACCCGCTCATACACACATGCAAGTCCTAGAAAAGTCAGACCTGAGGCAGAATTTGATTTTTTTTTTAAAGCTTACAAAGTAATTTAGAGCAAAGGCTATCCAGCCCTTTGAATAAAACAAATACCTCAGAATGTGGATGCTACTGGCCACTCCTGTTGCATTTAAACATTATGTAACAATTATAGCTTTTACTTCCCTCAAGTTGTCTCCCTGAAGGTAATTTGTGTTTTAAAACCACGTCCAGAGCCAAACACGCATTAAAATATAGTCTTTAGAGACACACAGAATACCTTGATGAACACACAGTTCTCAAAACCAGTTGCATATCATTTTGCAGATAGCTAAAGATGCTGTAAAAAGATACAAAAGGTACTGAGCTGAAAAAAACCTGCCCAACTGTTTTCTTTTCTTCACATGCTGAACTATTTTTCTGTGGAATAAGCATTTTTCCAGGTTCACAAAAATATCTACGCATTTCACTATATTTTATACAGACTGACTGGGACTTCAATCACCAGGTTTATCAACCAGATAAGTGGTTTTGTGAGAAATATATTAGATCGGTCTTATCCATAACCTTAACACACCTACTTTAGTGCCCAATGTGCTTATTACACCTCGACCTAACAACTAAGGAACAGGTATTTAGCATTATTACTTTCACCCCTACTAATATCCAACCCATTAAAAATTCTGTTTTATACTTCGCACTGTAGGGTTTTTTTGTTTTGTTTGGTTGGTTGGGTTTTTTTACTGTCTGAAGTATCCAGTGTATAATGTGCCAGACAGCTGCATTCTGCCAGATACTGTGTGTATCAAGTTTTCTACTTTTAAGTTAATGATAAGAAATTGAAAGCACAAAAAAAACCCAACACCAACCCACCAAACAAAAACCATAAAAGCCTTTAAAACCATCAGAGTCCAAGAGCATGCACCGAAATGCGTATGCCAATGTAAGGTGATGTGTAACTAGCTAGGAGGGATTGGCTCAAGATTCCCTTAAAATCTGGATCAGAGTAGAAGTCAGTGATTTGGGAATGAAAAAGCAGTAGCTTGACAGTCGTTTTAATCAAGCTACATCTAGTAGCAAAGATTTTTAATAAACCTTTTGAGACAAAATGCTACTATATACATATGTTTACAAAAAATGTAAACATTGTGCTTGTATTTAAAATAGAAACCTTCAAGGACATAAGAAAGTAATCCCAGACAACTAGACATCTAGTGGAATTTTATTTTTTTGTCTCATGAGAGTGTGAGGAAGGATCCACAGATATAAACCCATATTCTCTTGAAGTGAAATGGTACCTTAGCTGACAAACCTTTGCCCTCAGGATTAGCTTAAGTGCCCATGACAAATGGTTGTGCAAACAGTTGGGGCTTGTTTTTTCATACTGAAGGAAATACCTTCTTACATAAAGAAATACTTCTTGGCAGCTACATGGGATGGTGCCTTCTAAAGCACTCATCTAAAGTTCTCCTGTGTTTGTCCTTCGTGCCTGTCTGGACAGAAATGAAGGACTTTTGCCATCAGGTTGCTAGGCATACAAAGGTCCTGTGTACATTGTCCTGTACACATATGTGCAAGTGCTTCTTTGACTTCAATCAGACCTCCTATGGTTGCTCAACATCTTCATAGTATGTCCAAGATGCACTAAACATGCTGCCCTTGTCCTCCAGCACATTCATAAAGTGCTGAAGAGACTCTGAACTGTATGGTACACATGTACACATATGTAGGCACACCCACAGACCCTTATGTCTGGAAAACTGGAAACATGGGACCCCTAAACAAACATTGTTTATTACTATTTTGATCCTGTAATATCCTCAAAGAGCATCTAGCCAAACTTGGAAAAAATATGTCTAATATTGTTAACTTTTCCTTGAGTTCTGATCTGGCATTGCTGTAGTAACCTTTCATTTGAAGGCTAAGAAGAGAATGTGAACTCTCATACCTTCAGAGAAACTCCTTGATATTCTCAAAGAAGCTTCCTCTGTCTTTACGAAAACATTCAAATTGGTGATGAATCTAACTAACTGTAGACTATGAATATTTTGGTGAAATTGTGAATTAAATGTTTGCAGAAGTATTCTCTGAAATCTGGGGACACTTTTATAGTGTATATATAATTCATCCTGAAAGACTGCAGTAAGAAAGGGTTAAAAGATATTCCAAACATAAATGAAATGTTATTTATATAATCAGTATTTTCAGTGAGATGTTGTTAGTATTTATTATAAGCCTTAATAGTAACATAGTCTGTAAGACAGAAACTTCATATTTTTTAAGTGATACTTAAACACTGCTAGTAACTCAACTATACTGAGAAGCTAGTTGTAACAATACAAAAGCCAGTTAGAATGTAGTGATTTTGTTACCGTTAATTTGAGCATACATCATGGTATGAAATACAGAGATAATGTCATGCTTTTTGTTGCACTGCTCTGGAAACACTGAAGAACCACATAAAGATTTACCCTTTTTCTAAAGAGATTTTGAGTTGCATCATGTGACAAAGCATTTAGCAAACTGAATTAGTGAATGGACTTGACACCAAGTGCAACACCTCAGTTCTCCTACCAGTACAAATTAGCCAACTCTTTTTATCCACTGTATGAGTTTGAAAGATGCTGAACTCTAAATTCAACAAAGGCAGAATTCCTCTAAGAACTGCTATTGCACCTGTGTCACTAGGTTGGTATATTGGGTCTGGCTGAGGTGGAGTTAATTTTCCCCATAGCAGCCCTCAGAATGCTGTGTTTTGTATTAGTAGCTAGAAAGGTGTTGATAACACACTAGTGCTTTGGTTACTGGTGAGCAATGTTAGCACAGTATCAAGGCTCTCTCTCCAACATTTTTCCCCCTCACCAGTAGGCTGGGGGTGGGCAAGATCTTGGGAGGGCACAGAGCCAGGACAGCTGACCCAAACTGACCAAAGGAATATCCCATGACATCTGGTCAGCAATAAAAACTAAAAGAAAGGAAGAGGAAGCAGGAGCATTCGTTATTTACAACGTTTGTCTTCCAGAGCAACTACTACACATACTGAGCCCTGCTTCCTGGAAAGTAGCTGGACATCACCTGCTGATGGGAAGTAGAGAATAAATCTTTTGTTTTCCTTTGCTGCCGTGTGCGGCCTTTGCTTTTGCTTTATTAAACTATCTTTATCTTGACCTGCAAGTTTTTCCTGTCTTATTTTCTCACCCCCTGTCCTGCTCAGAAGGGGAATAATCGAGTAGCTTGGTGGACACCTGGCATCTAGCCAAGGTTAACCCACCACAGTTGGATAATCACATGTAAATATTCTTAACACGTAACTAACAGAAGCACATGTGTACAAAACTGAAGAGATTTAAACCTTGATGAAGATAGGCACTAATCCTTCAAATCACTTAAGCACATGTTTAAGTACATTAACATCCTCACTGAAGTAAAAGGGACTACTCAATAGCTTAAAGTTAAGCAAGTACTTAAGTTATTTGTTGGATCAGATTTTAATGCCCTTTCACTTCGGTCATTTGGCCAATCAGTTGAAAAAGTAATACTGAGACAAATTCAAAAACAATGCAATTTAGCATAATTGGGATTCTAAGAAAGGCCTCAATTGTAAAGCTTCTTTATTTGTACAATTTTATTTTTTCTTTTACAAAGATGACAAGACTTTGTACTACTTACTTTTAAGACGGGACAATGAAATGCATCCAAGTAAGTTAAGGAAGTTATGACACCACTTTCCAAACTCTCATATTTAATCTAGTCTCTGAATGATTTTTATGGTATGGAATGTGCACAGTAACAGATGTACTGGAAGAGCTAAGAGTCAAAGAACCCCTAACAGCACTGCATAACTTGGGCATCGATAAATGCACACTTGGAACCAAAGAAAAAGATAAAACCTTCCAATTGTCTTCTGCCTACAGAACAGCAAAAAGACACCTATCAGTCAGTTGTCCTGTGCCACCTAATGCACTATTATCATTATTTCTTAATTCATGCACATATTTTTAATCTCTATGGAAAAGTTAATAGAAAATTAAGAAAAACTCAGCACATGTGCTCAAAAATTAATATTGTACAGAGTAGTAATTTACTTCATGCCCAAACTTGTTAACTTTTACATCTAAATCTTTACCTTGAAACAAACCCTCCGCAGAGTTAAATACTTTGTTACAGGTTAAAATTGTGACATTAAAATTAAAGAACTTTAAAAAGAATACATAGTAGCATGCAATTGGGTGTATGGTATCCATATTTATCACTTACTGGAATAAAGGCATTTATTTGGAGTTGTGGGAAAATTCTGTAGTGTTTACTATTCTCAAACCATAACATAAATTTCTTACTTTAATATAATCTCAGACTCCAGTACAATTTTTTAAAACACTTTTGTGAGACTGGTATGTTGGACAACAAACTGGCTTACTGTATGTACTGAAAAATTAATAACACAAGGGCACTCTGGTTGGAAGAGCTAAAAAAAAGGACAGAAGGACAGTCCTTCTCTTCAAAGATAAGCTGTTCACAGGAATGTTTCCTGTAAGGAGTTTTCTGTGCCTGAGTGTACCACGTCTGCTTATAAATTGTTGTGAAGCAGAAGGAATCCTTGGGGACTGAAGAGATTTCACTTTAACGGAAAAGTGGCATTCAGAGAATATGATGTAAGAATCAATGTCTGAGACTGAGAAAAAACTTGCTGTTGCAATCAGTATCTTTTGCAAGTTTACTGCCTTGATGACTAGTACTATCATTTAAGCTCTATGCTGATTGTCAACCTTCAAAAAGCTTAATCAGGTTCTAATCTACAGTCAAATATTTTATTTTGCTCTGGCTTTCCAAACAACACAGGTTTTAAGGTACAGTTCACGTGCAGCTGTTCTGATGGTCGCTCTTTACAGGAAACAGAAACATCAATCCTAATTTGTTCCCTTTCCTGTTGCCACAAGCTCATATAAAACCATTATTAAGTGTTGCTGTTTCATGCTCTATGAAAATAAACATATATTATTTCCACACTACAAATCAGGCAAGCATTTCCAAAACCAGAACATTCAGAAATATACTTTATTCTTTCGCTGTTTGCCATGGTATTTCTATCTACATTTTCATTCAGCTGTAGTCACGGCACCTTCTTTATACAAGCACAGGAAGTCAGACTACTTGTCTGCGCAGTGATGCAGTCTTAGCAGCAAGGAATTATTTAACAACAGGGAAAAGCAGTAATCTAAAAATAATAACATTGGTCCTTGCTTTCCCCTAGATTTTCCTCGTGGATCAATCCTGCAAAATAATAATGGATTTCTTGAAAGAATCTGGTTTTGCATAAAAGCATGCCTCCTTGTTACTCTTTTTAATGTTGATACTTCACCAAAGCAGTCATTTCTACTAGAACATAATCAAGAAACAAGGGTCACTGCACAGTCCACTTGATCCTTTTGGAATTTATCCTTAGATTCACCAGATAACTTTCCCTATCTTTAGTCTCAGAAGCACAGCTGGGATCCTCCTACTGAACAGATGCATCCTAATGGGATAAAACAAGAGGTACTCACTACTTTAGTAACACGTCAGGTCTGAGATGATTAATTTGTTTTTGCTGTTTTCTTTGGTCGTATAGGGATGAATTATTTGACACAAACCCCCATTAGTATCCAGCATCAATTAAATTCCAAAATGAGTAAGTACAACAGCCTACTTCAGTGAAATTGACAGTGAAGGGGAAAGAGGACATGTCCACTTCACTGAAAATTGCTTGTTACTATCAGAATTATCTCTATTGTAATAGAGCTTTAGTCAGCTAAAAGCAGACAAGACAGCGTGGGAAAAAAAAAATGAACCAAATTGTCTAGTTTCTAAACTTGTAATTTCATTAAAGAAAGACAAAAGAGCATTTGTTAAATATAGTGCAGACCAGCTGAGAGTCTCAAGTCCAATGATTTCGGTGTCCTCTACTGTAAGTTCTATAGCAGAGCTGTCCAGACAAATTTTAAGACACACAGTTCTAATTTTCAATGCCCAAACTATTACTGCTCTTGAAAATGCTTTATAGCGGAAAGGTACATCTATGTTGCTTTGGACAAAGAGAAGCTATGGGGTGGTACAGCTCAACAACATGAAGGCAGAGATCAACACTAAATTGCCTCAATGAACCAAACAACTAAAAATATATTAGAATTAAATAAATCAAAATATTTTCTCAGAATTATTACAGAAGCCTGGCAGAAACCAATGCCATACTCCTTGCAAAACAGACAAAGACTTGGTAACAATTAGCATGTTAAAACTCAAATCTAAATACTATTCAAGTCACATCCTTTAGCTGGTCTTTTAATTGAGAAAACAGTTTTCTATAGAATTATGCAGCCTCTTCACAACTGCTGTGTTCACCAATGGGAGCTATTACTTGATGAGAATAATCAGTGCGAATCACCCTGTGTGCTTCCAGAAAGGCTGCAGTTGATGATTTCACAAGAAAATTCTCCTTGATGGGAGGGCTGCACAAAGGCAGCAGTAAAATGCTCAGCTGTGCTCCAGACTGTTTCTTTTATTTTACCAAGAGGAAGGCAAAGAGCAGCCTCTAAGAACTGTAAACATTACCAATTTTTAAGTGGGAAAGGAAGAGAATTCTCTTGATACAACACAAAGGAAAATCTGTCAGACATCAGGCTGCTCCCAAAGGAACACCTCACACGCTTTCAGGCAGGAGACTGCATTAGGGGGTGAAATTGTGTGCCATGGACGAGGAAGGGTGCTTCACATGGAATTTTGGGCAATGCTACGTGACTATAAGGTATTCAAAAGAGGATACTACATTTATATAGGCTGTGTGAATATAAATTACTTGGAGGGCTTCTGCAGCTCATGAGACTATGGAAAATTTGGAGGGCAAATTGGTGTATTCAAGCCACCATCATCACCCTCAGTCTTTCCGAAGCCGAGAGTTGCATCCTGCCAATCAAAGACAAAATACAAAAATCTTACTTCAGATCACTTCTCCACTTCAACTCAAAAATCATACTAGCAAGGCCACCCTATAGAATTACAACTCTTTTTTTTTTTCCTTTTTCTTTTCTTCTTCAGCATCACTGCAATACATCATTCCATCAATAATGGAACTTAGGGTTTTTGATGGTTCTTGCACTTACCTTGAGTCCACGAAAGCTGCCTGGGCTTGTTGGTGAAGAACTGGAGGACTTTGTAGATTTGGGGGTGGACAATTGACTGCTTGGGGTTCCATTAACTGGCCAAAGTAATAAAAGAAAACAAATGAAAGAAAATATGAATAGAAGTAAAAAATCCTTACTTGCTTTTAAACATAACATATCTCTCTGAGAAGTTATCACTCAGTCTGCACACAAAGACCAAAACAGACTCCTCAGCATTTAGGAATAAATTATATGCTTGCATGCCACACAACTGCACCCCCAAAACTCAAGTGGCTGCATATGGGATCAAGAAAACACACAAATATTGTATTGTTATTCTAGAGATAAAAAAAGGCCTATTCTGTCCTTTGCCAGTGCAAGAGGTTTGGGCAAATAATTGTATCATTTATTGTGATATCACACAAAAAAATACAGAGAGAGAAAGTGTTCATAAAGACATTTGATCCTCCATCTCTCCTTTTTGGATCAATGCCTTACTTTCTAGGTAGAAGGTTTCACAGAACACAAGTTTTGTTTGTTTTTTTCAAGAAAAACAAACAAACAAAAGGAATGAGCTGTCTGGATTATGATGAACTTAAACAGTAGTTGAGAAAAATATTGATTTAGGGGAAAACAAAGTCCAACAAGGTAAAAGCTAGTAGATGATTTCTGAACTTCCAAAAAGGTCAAGTGTCTGTGAAAACATAAAATATCCCCCTTCTTAACTTCAAGTGTTCATTCATTTTAAGTCAGTTTACCAGAGAGACCTGATGAAACTTCTGTTGTATCTCTAGTGACTTGAATATAACTTAGGTCAGTCCTTATATTTTTCTGGGGAAAAAAACCCCAAACAAACAAACAAGAAAAACCCAAACAAACAAAACCAAAAAAACCCCAAACAACCAAACCGAATCCTGATGAATTTCATTATGCAGACAGAATAGCACACTGTTCATACAAAAATACGATACAACATAATATGATACATCATTATTTCCTCTCTGGCTAAACCTCATTTTTCCTAGGAGAAGAAAATACCAGGCAGAAATTTAAGAGATAAAAAGGTTTCATAGCTGATTCATGGTGAAGATTTATTTTTTTCAGAAAGAAAATGGCAAATAGAAAATCAGCTTCAAAGTAAACAACAGTTACACCTGCACATATCCTTTACACATTCAGAGGTCTGTCATGGGTTATGCATCACTTCTTAACTGGTGCTAATGGATTTATTTTACAAGTGTCTATTAATTTAGTACCCTAGCATCTTCTAAGTGCTGCAGATGCCTTCCAAGTACTATTTTTACAATCCGGGCCGTCCATTTGACAGTACGCCAGACTTGACTGCATTGCAACTTCCACAAATCCCTTTTTTTCACAAAAATCTCTCTCTGATGTGTGATGTTAAGAGATAACTAATTAGCATTTACCTAATAAGTCTGTCTTGAAGTCTGATGAATTTACATTCCGAGATCTGTTACAGCACTAAGGGCTTAGTCTTTTCTGTTAAAAGTATTCAGTATGTTTGGGATATTTTTGCCTTGACTCTAACAAGGGTTGCCTGGAAGAACAATAGGTGAATTACTTAAGTATTTTTTTAAGAAGCTAAAAGTATTTAGGAATATACAACCCTTCTATAGACTTCGTTTCATTGCTTTGTTTTAGATAACCTCCTTGAAACCTGGCATATCAATGCATCCTTGTTTTATAAAGAATTTGCAAGTCTGACAATGAAAAGGGCTAATGAATGCTATCTTACTGTTTTCTGCTTCTTGCATAAGCAATTTGCTCTAGCCATTAGGAAAAAATACTGAGCTGTAAAGTTCATGACCAAAAATGAGATACTTCAGTAGAAAAATTTTATTCCAAATGGCCAACTATTGCTACAGGAGAAGAAATTTTTGTTTCTTCACAAATTCTTTTTATATAGCTCACAGAAAGGCTACTATTCCCTAAACATGACCATTGAGGTCTACATTATAAGATACCCTTATCTGTCTCTACATCACCACCATCCTTTTAAGCACCGACAGAACCACTAAACTGTATCTGTGCAATTGGTTGTTAACATAGTCTTCTTCCCTCTCATAACTGTCTAAGGAAGAACATCCCAGCTTATGCTGACAGTACTCTTAGCTCTTTGCTAATATCTTAGATATGCCTGATGGACAAGGGTGGTGTTCCGAGCCAGGGGTGTGACTAGATGATGTACAGAGGTCCCTTAAAATTTTTGTCCTTCTATGATTCTACAACATATGGTACGTTCTGCAGAGGATCCTATTTAAAAGAGCTGTCTGTAAATACAGCTTTGCCAATGTCTTCTGAGATCCACTGCATGTGAGTTGGTGCAACAAGAGCTGCAACAATTAAAACCTGGAATTAGCCTTGTGTAGATGTAAAAATTTTGCATCTGTAGGGAGTCAGCCAACTGCTTGTACTGGTTTCAGCTGGGGCAGTTAATTTTCTTCTTAGTAGCTAGTATGGGGCCATGTTTTGGATTTGTGCTGAAAACAGCGTTGACAATGCAGAGATGTTTTCATTATTGCTGAGAAGTGCTTACACAGAGTCAAGGCCTTTTCTGCTTCTCACACCACCCCAAGAGTGAGGAGGTAGGGGGTCCACAAAATGTTGGGAGGAGACACAGCCGACCCCAACTGACCAAAGGGATATTCCACACCTTACGGCATCATGCTCAGCAATAAAACTAAGGGGGGCACGTGCTGCTCAGGGACTGGCAGAGCATCAGTCGGTTGGTGGTAAGCAATTGTTTTCCTTTGCACCACTTGTCTTTCTTTCTCTCTTATTTTCCTTGTCATTACAAATTATTATTATTATTATTATTTTATTTCAATTAATAAACTGGTTTTATCTCAATCAATGAGTTTTCTCACTTTTACCCTTCTAATTCTCTTCCCCCATCTCACTGAGGGGGGGAGTGTATGAGCAGCTGAGTGGTGCTTAGTTTCTTTTGACATGTATAGCAGTCTGAACATACAGAAAAAAAATTCTCTGTTGTTCTTTAAGTAGTACATATTAGGCTACAATTTTTTTAGCACATTGGAATGTTGAAAACTAAAAAACCTATGAATACCTTTAAAATTGTTAACTTCTAGTATAGTCCAAAGTCTCAACTTCTTTGCTAATCAAAATGAATGTTATTTGTTTTAGGGATACTTTAACTTTGAACTGAAGGTCCAAAGAGGTTTCTTAGTATTTTAGAACTTAGGCTGAAATAACACAAGAAAATAAAGGAAGGTAAGAAACTGCAAGTAAAATTAAAAAACATAATGTCTTTTTGCACTGCTTGTTTTCAGCAACTCTTACCCCTATCTTTTTGTGCTAGCTGAAATTTTCTACTACAATATGCTTTCAAATACACATACTAACATATTAGTTAGTAAGCTCCTCAGAATGCTCCTCTACTTGTCGTCAAAGTATACCTTTACAAATTCACCTGACACCATTAGCTGATGTCCAACAACTACAAAACAACACTTACATTATTTCACTCAAATGATCTATTTCAACAAAAAACCTAAACCCATTATGTCTCTGGTTCACCAAATGCAAAATGTGTGTTGCAAGCTTGAAAATATTCACAAATACAGTGAAGAGAATACAGGTAAATGGAGAGGGAGGAAACACACTAGTGATACACAGCCATAATAGTAATGGCTCACCTGGGGATTTTGATGAAGAATAAGCACTGGAGTAGTGGCCACCCCTCTTTACTGTACTCATATATTTGACACAAAGGAAAAAGACATTAAGGAAAGAAGTTATTAAACAGCTCTGAACATGCACGAAAGGAAGAAGGGTAAATAAAGACAAGTAAAGACAACATGAGAAAAACCGGCAAGTAAATAGGATAAATACAAGACACTTAAGGTAAATTTTTCAAATTAACCTAACCCAAGGGGTGTCCAAGTAGAAATAAGTCAGGAAATGGCAGCACTGATTTCTAAATACTTTGCATAAAATTAACTGTTGATAGATATTCCACACAATCTCACTGGAGTTAACAGGATTGCTTAAAATGTACATCAGTTGTGAAACTTGCCCTTCATGCTACATTTTTCTTTGTTGTTACTGCGATCCTTCTTTGCAGCTTTTCAGTTAAAGACTCAACCTTTATAAACAGATGATAAATATTCCATTTTGAAAGAACCCAAAGACATAAAATTACTTTAAGCAGCATCAATTAAGCAAAACAAATAATGGTATAGAAATGAGAATACAGAACATGTTGCAGTTTTGAATACACACACAGGAGATTACATGTATAGCTACATTCAAAACATAGCATCCTATATTTACATATTCAATGGTTTGATTTCAGGGCTAGTTCTCCAAGTCTAAGGGAAAAACAAAAATTAAGTTTTATTGTAGTTAGAAGTTAAACACAGAGGTAAAAAAAGGAAAAAACCAAGTTTCTCCTTTGTATTCATTTGTATAAAAGGGTCAATGGTTTGAACATACACTGTTTAGTTAAACTGCTGGCAAAACCACAATTTGAACCTTTCTTTGAAATTACAGGAAGCACAAGAGGAAGAAAAAAAATTTCTCTGTTAACAGGCAATAACATTCCAGAACATCTCCTAAAATTACTGGAAACAGCAAAATCCTGTATTTCCAACAATATTTGGCTTATAGAGGAGAAACCTTTCAAATTCAAAACACTTAAGGGTATACTCTAGTTCAATGAACATTAATTTAACTACACAACCATCCAGTAGTTAATAGTCTTCAAGAAAATCAAGTGCCATGCTGAAAACATATCCCAAGTGTACAATTAGCACAAATTATTCCAATGTTCATAAACTGAAACTTTTTGTACCTGTTAATTAAAAAATAGAAACCACATTTCTTCTCAGGATTCAAAAATAAATGCAAATTTTACTCTAAATTAGCACTAATTCTATAAGACAAACTGAAAAGAACACATTTTTTAATCTCAGAAAAGAAAGCATGGCACTTGTATTTCACATAGAGCCAACAGTTTTTTCACTCTATTAAACAAATTCTAACTTTCATGTATTTTATGTGTTCAGCTCTTTCCTGGAAGTAGTACCTGAGGCAGGTGATTTGCTTCGACGTGAAGGTCCTGGACTTTTGGACCCAGTATGCCTCATGCCAGATGATCGGGAATAAGAGGTCTTCATAACACGGCATTCTACAAAGCAAGCACATAGAGTTTTGACAACAGATCCATGTACAGGCCCACCTCCAAACACTGCTGTTGCTGTTTATTATCCAGAAAATGTACATCAGTATTTTCTAAACATGCTTGCCCAACGTGCATGAAACAAATTTATAAGAGCATCTCAGAACTTTAAGCTATAAACCATAAAACATATTTGAGCTACTCAAATGCTGTATGTAATACTCTGCATGTAATAATTCGTGATGTCTTGAAGCTGGATTATATCTATAATTCTAGTGTGTACCTAAGCACAGCTGAAAGAGTAAAGAAGTCAGCTGATGTCAAGATTCTTCTGATAATTCAGTAAATCCTGCACACCGTAATAGCAACTTCATATAGGGCAACTGCACAGCAAGCCCCATTTACCTTCTTTTGCAAGAAACTGATGTTGTGAACAATTTTTAAAGAGGTGAAAAATGTCTATTGTTTCCAAAAGGCTGAGACAATAGGTAACTGCCATTTACCTTCACCTATATATCATTAAATAAAGGACAACCTAAATAGGAAAGGAATCAACAGGTATACATGCATTAACATTTTGGAAACACTTTAATTCCTACAGTTAGCACCCACTGTAAATCACTTTCAATGGAATAATATACATTTCCCTCCTAATTTTGACCCTTGTTATTCATCACTATGATGTCAATACCATCATTATGATGCCATGTCACCATCAAAAATAGTAAGTAGAGCTGCACACCCTGCCAGTTAGGTCATGTTCTACTCTGTACCTAACCTGCTTTTCTCCATTAAGACCTGCAGAGTTATTAGAGGCTGAAGAGATAAATGGAGAAAAAAGACCTCCATCACTGGGTTCTCAAAAAGGAAACGAGCCAAATTAATCTGCACATGGCATAATAGGAAAAGCAAACTTACGTCCTTAAAATCTGCAAGGGAAATTATGATTTTGCCCAGACTGGGATTTGCAGTGTGAGTTAATATAACCATGCTCTTCCATTCCTACATAAGAATAAAATTATACCTTAGCTAGTCTAAAACTATGTTAAAAAAATACCCTTCTTGTCACCTCCACACTAGCTGAATCAACATAATCAGGCAGTTCTGGAAAAGTAGCATGCTGGCAATAACAACAGAATAGGAGCCAGCTGAATCCTCCATCCATCCAAATGTATGGACCAGTGATTAGATATACCTATACTTCTTGATATGACTAAAGATTCTGTAATGAAATTATGATGTTTGTAAAAATTAGAGAAACAGCAGGTGCTTTTGCTTTCAGTTACCCGAGAGCAAGACAACCCCCCCACCTCTTATTCACAACCTGTAGCTCCCCTCAAATAATCTTGATGATTCTTGCCAGGGCAAGTTTTCTTCACACAGATTAAATTTATTCATAAAAGAAAATCGGTGATTCTACAGCTGAAACAATATAGACAGAAAAAACGTATCTAGCAGGGCCTGTAGCAATAAGACAAAGGGTAATGGTTTTAAACTAAAAAAGGGTCTATTCAGACTAGATATAAGGAAGAAATTTTTTTATGATGAGGGTGGTGAAACATTGGAACAGCTTTCTTCGAGAGGCTGTAGATGCCACGTCCTGGGAAACATTCAGGCTCAGGCTGGATGAGGCACTGAGCAACCTGATCTAGTTGAAGATGTCCCTGCTCACTGCAGGGGAGTTGGAACTAGATGACCTTTAAAGGTCCCTTCCAACCCAAACCATTCTATGACTATGAACATGGAAGAAAAAAAACAAGATATACATGATTTGATATTCCAAGCCAATTCTAAAACTCCCTGGTAGAAATGAGTGCTTTTTCCTTGAACTTATATTGTAAATTTTCTCTATATAGAAAAAGAACTTTCATAAACAAGTTAAATTAATGATCTCTCAATAGCACACAGCATGGGCACAAAGTCACAGTTTCCCTCATGTCCTTCCCCACTCAACACCCCCTATAACGCACAATATAAACAGGCTCAACACTTGGTCTACAGCAGACAAGACTGGAATGTGTGAATTGTCTAGCAGGACATTTCAAGACCTGAAATGAGTGTGGTTACGTATGTGATTTTTCAAAAATCTTATGAAGACAGCGATAGGGAAATAGTCACAGATGTCAAAAGTGAACATTTTTACCAGATTTTATATCCATTATATCCATGACTGAACCTTTTAAAATCTAATGCTTTTTTCCATGTAACTTTACAGATAGGGTTTGTTTTCCAAAAAAAACAGATCAGGTTTATCAGTGCATTTGAACAGACTTTGAACAGTGCATTTGAACAGAATCCAGATGATGGTTTGGAAAAGTTTTTTAATCCATGGGAAAATATATTTCCATGTATATTTTCCTAAATCACACAACTTGTGGGGATTGAACAAGGGGGCAAGGGTGGGGAGGAGGAAGAGTTCTCAATGAAGTTAACTATTTCAGTGGGTTTAGGATGTGCATTCTTACCACTGTGATCCAAAACGAAGTCATCCTGAGCATACCGGTATTTCTCAGGTCCACATGCAATGAAGACATCATCATCTCCAAAGAAGTCCTGCAAGCATGTCACCTTGACAGCAAAATATACAAAGCAAAATAAACAAATGCAGTACTTCCAAATACTAAATCTTCAGTTAGTCAGCAACAATAAGTGTTTTCCTTTTCACAGTGATACCATAGTGTTCTTTTATAATGAAAGAAACACACCAGTTCACAAGTACTTCAGCTCTCCCAGTAGTGCAGGAAGCCTCAGGGTCAAGGATGTAAAATATGTTTGCCCCTCACCTCCAAAACCACCTTCTCTTACACTTAACATCTGTTTTTTTGCCTATAACTACACATGCATGCTGATGACCTTGACAAGACCAGCTATAAACACTGCTCAAATATCAAAGCTTCTTGTATTCTTACATTAATTGCTTATGGGAAAAATCTGTTGAGTTAAACGATTGCATCTACAACTTTATTTTTATGCCCTGAGGCATTTAATTTCCATTTTTAATGTCTTGATAAAAAAATAATTCCTCCTTTTATTAAAAGGTATTCCATATTTAAGAAAAAAGAAATATAAAGTCCCATGCATGCTCTTTGCAGTGCTGTCCTTAATTGTCCCAAGTAACAGTTACAATGTGTTTCAAGAAGGCTCAGTATATCAGAAAGAAGAATGTTTTATATGGTTTTTTAAAAACACAAAACCAAAGACCTTGAAAAAACCTCACTCCTCAAAAGTCAATAAAAGTCAGCTTGTAAAGGAGCAAGTGTCTACTTCAAAAACAATTAAAACAAAAAACGTCACAACAAGAAATCCCACCGAACTTATTCGAACTCCTTGTAAGAAAAAAAAAGTGTTTGCAGGTAGCAAGCTATTTTTAAAATGTAAACAGATTAAAATTCTACTGTATAATTGTTTCTCTTTTCTTTTTAACTTTGCACACATAAGTGAGGTCTAGGAATAAAAGCTATGTACAAGCTAAGAAAGTTAGAATCATTTGTTAAAACCATGTAATTAAAAAGGTAAAACAAAAACCTGCTTTTAGGGAAACTAGCCTTTTTTGTTCCCATATACCTGTCAACACCATTTGCATCTTTTACACACTGTGATAACAGTAAACATTGTAAGAATGACAGGAAGGGGTCTCTACTGCCTGCGGTATTCTGAGAAACACTCAGAATATCAATGACCCTGAGCTCTGCAAGAACACCCACACAGGGCATTCCCCAGCCTTGCAGTTGTCATGGCAGCTCACCCAGGGATAACAGCTGGTGCCCTTACAGCCAGGGCCTCACCACAGAGCCACATGCAGCCTGCAGTATTTGTGTCACACAGCCAAAGGACTCCAGCCATCACCAAAATCCTTTTATTGTTATCTTGCCATTGCAATGACAATCTGCTCTCACTGACTGAGACATTTTCAGCTGTATTTGAAAGCGCTGCTCCTAGTTAACCCAAGAGGCAGTAATAACTGGATTCAAAAGCTTGTACAAATTTGAGAGAAGTTTTGCTAAAATGGGATTTATTCCTCTCTACTTAATAACTATCTCTACAAATAAGAGAACTCATTATCATTGCCACAGATTTCAGCAATCTAGCAACCAAGCCAAAGCCACCACTATGGGAAAACCTGTGAGAAAGTTTTCAGAACACTCATCCCAGTAGAACTGCTGGACACGGGCAGAGATGTCCTGAGTGGTGCAAGTTCACACCCAAAGCCCCCCAAACCGGGTGCCATTTCCACAAGCTCTGCCTACTCATCACTGCTCTAGTCATGTCCCCAGTGCCCTTGCAGTGCTGTTTCGAGTAGGTTGGAGTTAAATGCTGTGGTTTAACATATCCTAAAATTAATCTTTCTGTTCTGATTCAAAGCCTCCCCTCACCCCTTAACCCAATCAGTCTAACATCTGAGCTGAGAGTAAGAGAGGAGAGAATGACAGGTCTTATGTCAGACTGAGAAATACACAGAGATATAACTCCACGCAGCATCATCCTTTTGTTGTCTGCACAGCAATTCTACAAAGGAAGGGTCAGACCTGTGCACAAAACATGACAGGAGTACCCTTAGAAATGTACCTTAAAATCTTTTGTAAATGGCTATTGGGGAAGGGAATAAAGAACTTTTAAGAAAGGTATTAATTTCCATAGGGGCTTTCACACATCTTCATGGTCATACTGGAGTGAGTCCAGAGGAGGCCACGAGGATGATCCGAGGGCTGGAGCACCTCTCCTATAAGGACAGGCTGAGAGAGTTGGGGCTGTTCAGCCTGGAGAAGAGAAGGCTCCAGGGAGACCTTATAGCAGCCTTCCAGTACCTGAAGGGGGCCTACAGGAAAGCTGGGGAAGGACTTTTTACAAAGGGCAGGGAGTGACAGAACAAGGGGTAATGGCTTTAAACTGGAAGAAGCGAGATTTAGATTAGATATTAGGAAGAAATTATTTACTCTGAGGGTGGTGAGACACTGGAACAGGTTGCCCAGAGAAGCTGTGGCTGCCCCCTCCCTGGAAGTGTTCAAGGCCAGGTTGGATGAGGCTTTGAGCAACCTGGTCTAGTGGAAGGTGTCCCTGTTGATGGCAGGGGGGTTGGAACTGGATGATCTTTAATGTCGCTTCCAACCCAAACCATTCTGTGATTCTATGTATGTACAGTTTCCCCAGGCAAGAATACACAAGAGTAATCGTGAGTACCAGTGATCAGATAAACTGCTGGAGGTGGAGCAATGGCACCTTCTTCTTGGAGCTCAGGCTAATGCCAGCCTCTCAGTCTGCTCACACACTGTGTACCTGACCTGTAACTTCCACCTGTCAGTCACAGACCAAGACAGACTTACTGTAAAAGATAATAAACTACATTCACACTGGAAGTCAGATAAATGCAAGTATGAGAAAGATTTACACAGATGCTCACTATATTCCAGCAGTGAATACTGGAAGTCATCCTTCTCCCTCTACAAATAGTTCAGATTGGCTACATATAAAATATAAAGGAAGAAAAAAAACATTGAAAAAGAGTATTCAACAATGAATAAAGATCTGCTAGAACTTATAAATCCCAGATAACACCACATTATGAGGTGAAGGAAGTATTTTTAAAAACAGGTTAATGGAAATCTTTGATTTTCCTAAAAGTACAATCTAATGGTTATTTTTCTAGGCCTTTATTGCAATAAAGTCAAAGAAACAGGTCCCAAGGTGCAAAAAGATGCTAAAATAAACAGTTTTTCATTTCCTACAGAATTAAAATTAATGTATCTGCTACAATTAATGATAACAGTGTTTTGCTCAATTAATGTGCAAAAAACAATTAAGGGAAAGCTGAAATGAATAAATTGTTTGCATTGGATTTTGAATGATGCGCGTCCACTGTGGTCTAACTTGCAAATCACACAATATCGCACCGCCAGAGACTCTGTAATTC